TATTACATCGAGTTCTGTTAATGACGAACATTTTGCGTTTTATCTGCTGAGGTAATTCGTACATTTCTGTGAGTTTTGCCAGTATACTGTTTCTACTATATTTCATCGCGGCCAGGAAGCTTCAGTTTTAGCCGTAGCAGTTGTACAGCATTGTGGATGCGTGTGTCTCTACTCAGTTTGCCTAGGTGTTGAACATCTGGCACGTCCATGTTTTACGAATAGGAGAACGACCTCCAGATGGAGGTTAGATGTGACAAATAAGTAGCCACCGACAGACAGCAGTGAGACTACCACGGCGTGACTGGGTTCCAGCTAAACAGGTTTGATCCTCAAAAATAAGCCACATTCCCAAAGTCAATTTCATATAAATGCGAAAGTGACCCGTCTTTTTGAAGAGAAACGCCGCCAATGTCACCGCTACCTTCGGTTAGACGTCGGTCTGTCAAAAACTAGAAGACAGATATTCGATAAAACCAGACAGAATCTTGGAACCGTGAAAAAATTGCTAGACTTCCGCCACTTCCGCCAGCGGGTGGCAAAGGTGACTCAAACGATGTCTTACGGTCGCATCTCAGTCCAAAGGTTGGATGAGAAAGAAGGGTTCGGAAAGGTGCGAGTAAAACTTAGCCACCTGTTCCTAATGGTATTTCGGTCATCGAACATTTTACCGACTCGGTCGCCGCCATGGTTACCAAAGGCCCCGGAGACTGTTGGGAAATGGACATTATACTTTAGGTAGGCCGTACACTTTGATTCTCGTTAACTGTCAATACTTGAACTTAAAAATTTAACTCTATGTCTTCGTAATCTAATTTACTTGGTTATTCTTTCTCTTGCTAATCCTGTTGGTTGTATTGTGATGTCTGCACCATGGTGTTTTTCTTCCGATTGTCGGTCTACTAAAAAATTGTTCCATATTGTGCAGATTGCAGACTATTTGCATTTTTCAGATTCACGAAATCAATACAGTTGCGTTATCTTGCAGAGAATCTAGTTACTCAGTTTAATTATTTTCCTTAAACACAAGAACACTTTCCTTATGGGATCTTTACTAATGTGTTAGACATCACGTATAGAATTTCTGCCTTCTCATGAGGCTGCTGATTCCTACTTATTGTGCATTCAACTCTTAAGTTATATAACCTATCAGAATTTCCCTTGGGCTAACAGCAAACTTTGTTCTCAGATTAAGGAGGTTCATTTCCTCCTGATATACACTGAGATCAGTGAGGCTATGGACGAATCTTTTGGTTTGTTGAGTAGATACCGTATAAAGTCGATTTGCATGGTATCTAATGATCTGGTTGAACAGTATGGGTCTCATGATTTATAAGTAATACCTCAAGTTTTCAATCCCGAGCCCCTTGTTACAAGGAAATGAATTTGTCGATGAGTAGCTCAGGGCACTAAACAAAGGAGCTAAAAAATTTTGCGTACATGTTTCGATATCACACTGGTAGCTTCCGCAGGGCACATACGATAAGGTCAGCAACAAGCCACCGCATAAACAAAAATAGACTGCGTGACCAAGAACATAACTAAACAGTAAACAAGCGATAACACTAGAAAGGCATCCTCAAAGCTTGCGGAACCTACCCAGGTGTAAGGACATGCTTTAACATTAATTATTACTTTTCTCCATAGCTAGGATATCCTCATTCGGCTTAATACAACCAGAAGCGAAAGTCAGCAAATCGTCGACTTACAAATAACTACGCAATATGAGCGGTTAAAAATTTTGTCTGTATGCTGTCAGAAATATAAGATCTATTGTATATAATCGGTATAGACATTTTATTGATATTTATGAAACGTTCATACATCTAAAAAAGAAAAATTTCAAACAGCATAGAGCAAACCATAAAAGGCAGGTAGTGTTGTATTCAAGCCACGACTCAACCGCGAGAAGCGTCAACTTGATTGAAGAGTCTGTCTTTAATCACTTGCGAAATCAATCCGTGAATTACCTCTGTCGTCATCTTGCAGCTATAACAAAAACAAAACAAATGAAAGTGATATAAAATTACTTAATGTAAGTTAAAAATTAAGTTAAAAAACACCGTGAAATTTGTTTTATTTCTGTGAAGCACTTTCCCTTATATAAAACCATCATTTCAGCATTTCTTTTTCGGTCGTAGGATAGGACGCTCAGAAGCTGACGCCACTACTCTCGATTCTGAGCCATGGAATGAACCTCGTGTGATAAGTTCGGCAGTCGGGCGCAGAAATGCTTGATGCAGTTGTATCAAATCTTTACAGGCTTTCCTCAAGGTCGGTCGAGCAAAGTGCAGTAGTTTTTGACTCCAATCATTCAGAAACAAATGGCAAGACTGTTTCAACTGCGACTTTGGATCTTGAGAAATAATGAATCAATCAGGGAGTTTCGGATTCTGTCGAAACGCGTTTCTCCAGTGATTATTCTGAAAATTTGATCTTGACCGCTTAAACTCGTGATCTCATTCACTAGGGCTACTAAAGCTTCATGACAATGGCTGAGGGGTGGGTATAAAATGAGATTAAAACACGGCTAGCTTTGTTACAAAATTCAGCTACGCCTGTTACGACAGTCTGGTGCGGTTCAAGAATCACTCCACCTGCCATACGGATACATCGCTCGATTTCTTGCCATTTTCCATCACTTGTAAACGTGATCTCGAAGAACTGGAACTTTTACACCTGTTTCAGTGTTAGCCAACTAATATGCAACGCACTGAGCAGGAGATCCAGAAATCACATCCTTTCCGATTTAGCCGTGTTTATCCGCATTCCTGTCACTACGTTTGGTTGCAGACTTATCAAATGTATTCTGGAGATCATGTTCGAATGGTGCCATCAGGAGGAGGAGGTCTGCAAACAAGAATTTTGATTTCAGCCTCATTGACTGGGATGCACTCTCTGGTATCCTGCTTATTGTGGTACACTTCTGTTTTCATAATACAGTGACTGAACCGAAAAAGCAGTTGTCCATTAATCTAGGACACCTGTAGGCATGGCTGTAACGGTTATGATCAGTCCGGTCATATCTTTTCTCCAGGACCATAGCACACATGACGTGTAAATTGCGTGGGAGGACTTCCAGGCACAAAACTTCTGTAGAGCGCATACCCTACTGGTCGACTGTACTTCCGCCGGACCGGAAGCTACACGGTTCTTCTTGTGTGCTAGATTTAGAAGTCTGTTGGCATCTGCCGCCAGCAAACCGAATCCAACATATAAAAACAAACTAATACAAATTTCATCTTACCTTCACAAGAATAATATATCACTACAGAAGTCTGGGCTGCATTATATCCATGAATTTTCATTTCATCACTTAGGAACAACGCGACGGGTGTCATCAATGTTTTTATATTTTCACGTTATTCATCAAACATTTTTCTGATCTGTCGTTCGACTATTCACGATTATCTTCCCGTTTCGACAGTAGACGACTTGGTAAAACAATTTTAGCGTACCTTTACTGCGAATTAATACCAACGATAGTTACAATTCTTCCCTCCAGATGTGTAGTGAGATTATCTTCCAATTAAGAAAAAATACATTCAATTGCACTTCAGCATGGCTACGATCCCATACTTTGGTCGCTGCTTGCTCTAAGTGACAAGGATGTCAGGGCAGGAGTTGGGCAGAGGAAGTTAATTTAAGGAAGTCTATGCATGATGAACTAAGAATCGGCCGATTAACAAGGCAACAGCTAATTTGTATGACTCATTTTACGAAGGTTCTGAGGAAAATCAGTTTAAACGAAGGATACTGTAGCCAAAAATGTGGAAGAGCGGATTAGGGCAATCGAGCATACATATTTTCGTTGTCGTTTTATAACACATTCTCTAGCCCATGGACGCAGGATAACGTTTGTATTTACATATAATTACACGAAACAGAAAGGATCCCTAGGCCACTGCTTTCTTAGGGTTGTGTGGCAGATGTGTCAAAGATGCGTGGCAACAAATGCGTAATTAAGAATTAAAATACGTCATTAAATAACTAAATTTATTTCGGTTTAAACAAGTGGAAATTCTGAAATTCCTGTAGGGACACATTAAGATTATTTTTATGAGACATTTGCTTAAGTCCAATTTCAGAAATAATGTTAAATTTTTATGTAATAGCGGTATGTAAACTTAATATTAAAATCATGTTCCTGTTCACGGTTGCCGTGTAGGCTGAAATGGATTAGCATATGTAGTTATTCATTAACAAATTTAAAAAACGTATTCATGTACGTGGATCCGACATAACCTCAAAATAAAGGTGCTACCAACATTGGCTATCTTCCGCCATGTTGCATCAGGCGGAATTTGTTGAGGAGTCATTTTTCGGTCGGTAAATCAATTGGTAGGCGAGTAAGTCAAACAGTGAATCAATCAGTTCGATATCAGTTAATTGAGTATGGAACCTTATTTATTATTTCTTATGACATTTGCAAGTTATGTTCAAACGCATTTACCTGAGGCTTCCAAGTGGCAGAAACTACCAGTTCCGTGTTTGGGGATGCACTACTAAATTTCGAATTTTCTCGAAGAAAAAATTAAGTAAAACGATTTAATTCCAGTCACTTGTGCTCGAGACTGATTTTGTTCACATGCTCAGTGCTTCAGCTTCAAATATCATGAATGTATTAGATTCTGAACCGAAATCAGGGGATTCCAGCTGCGACCGGGTCATCTGGCTTTCTTTCTGCGGTTAATAAATGATGGCCACGCTTTCGGAAGAACACAGGATGCCAAACACTATGCAAATCTATTCTGCGTTTAAAAACAAATAAGGCACTCCTGGCGGATACAGGGGAATGGAAATCAGCGTCCTACCATTAAAACTTCATGAAAAGAAGCATACCACACAGCGGTTCCTATTTATGAACGTGCGTCGAAGACGGATATCTCAACGCCTTCAAACTTTACTTTTCTCTGAATCTAGGCTAACAGACAAAAATCAGTCGTCTACACTTCTGACTTCAAACAACATGATTACCGTAAAATTAATAAGAAAATTCATTGCACTACCTGTCTCTTGCAACTTTGCTAAATTTTTCTTCGGTCTTTCTGTCATGTGGATCGAATCCCAAGCCGAATCCTGTTCCGCGAGCTACGTCAGTTTCCACCTGCTCCAGTTTTTCACCAAGATCACGAATCTGACCGGTGACGTAGTCCGAATTCTAGATTAATCTACGGTTCACCTTTGAGTTGAATGAGTCATGGACAACATCACTCTCAAATGACGAAAAGAAAAAGCCGTATGAAAACGAAATCAAAATATATTTAAAGCTGCAAGGAGCAATAACTAGATCTGATTAAGGCTAGCACTAAGGAGTCATTGTGAAGAAGGAGATGCTTCATATCGCGAAGAACTTGGAAGTGGAAACGTTTAGTAATCTTATTCAGGATAAAGGTGCTACCTGATAGTGACAACTGTGACATACTCTGTGACAGTACCAAGAAAAATGCGGAAGATCTACCAAGGAACGGCCTGCAAAGTTTAACAGGATTATACAACGCATGAATACAGACGCGAGAGTTCACCGTAAAAAAGAAACTCTGGAAGTAATCCAATTATAGTTGTTATCGCTTTTGGTTAAATAAACTATCCACAACCGGATACTTCAGTCTTCAGTTCAACTGTAGAACTGTTTCGACAGTCTAATGACCTTCTGAATAAATTAACAGCATAGAAAAGACGAGATGAGACGATGAGCAGCAGGGCACTTAAGATTAACCTTTTTTATTCTGCATTCTCTATGGTCCAACGATTACGGTTATCTCCACAGCGCAGGATAATTTAACTTTCATAGCAACTGTCTTTTTGAAATCACTCAATCTTGTTTAATAAGTGTCATTTCGACCGTATTGTGTTTGTTATTATCGAGCTCATTATTTTCGGCCGCTTGCATAAGCAGAACGTCACTACTTTGTGACGTCCTCTGTATTCAGAGTTTTACAGCATTTTTCTTATCAGGCACAGGTTACTGCATTGCATAATATTCCTCTATGAAAGCAGACCTACCTCTACACTGTTCCTTCAGTTGCACGCAAATCTCCTGGTCGATGTGCCGCGTTTCGACTCTAACGCGAAAAACTTTCGAGCTGGAGTCAATGCTGTATGCACAACCAGTTTTCATATAATCACTAACCTCTTTTTCTCAATTTCCACATCTAATGATATCACCCGTGAGAACAGAGATATTCCTTACATTGTATGGCCATTTTGCCATCATTAAAAGTCAAAGCTGCTGCCTGCATTGCAACTGTCGTCCTTACTCTTTCGTTAGAACAACAGTTTCCATGCGGAATAAAAACAGTGACCTGACAGAGCCAAGCTGCAGG